ACACACACTAGTATACGATAATATGAAAGGTACATTATTTGCATATAGTAAAATTCTACATTGCCTGAAATACATCTCCTGGGATTACACTTGGTGAAATTGTCATACTTTTGCCTATTTACTTCTAACCGTTCAAGAAATAGAGTTTCATAAATTAAAAAAATTAAAGAAAAAACACACACACACAGACACACACACACACACACATTGCACACAACTTTTCATTTCCAGTGTATCAGCTATATTCATGTTTGTGCCTCAGCCTATGTCAAAAGAAAAAGTTCTAAATTTTACTGAGTAATAAAAAGGGGCTCATGGACCTCTCTCTTTCTCTAGCCTTTGCGTATTTCTCTATCGGTTGCGACTTGCGACTCTCGAATTACCTTCAAACTGTACTCTCCACCTTCGGGGCGAGTTTTTATGCTGTGGGAAGTCTCCTCCTAGGCAGCAATTTCTGCAACAGCATAAAGATCAATATAAGCAGAGGGATATATGATGAAGTTCCTCTTGTAAAAATAAGTGACTTTGATGTCCTTGACATTTTGGGTCACTGAGGCCAAAATTGACATTTAACCCCCGAGAACGATCATAAACTGCACATTTTTCTCTTATTTTGTTTTATTTCATGGTGTTTTGGGGGAATTAAGTGCATGAAGTCATTCATGCTCACTAGCTTTGAAATTGGAGTCCAATATCTGCAAGTAGTGAGCATAAACAAAGCAGAAAGAAAGGGTTGTCACATTCCAGCAAAGAGAAAAGAGGGTGAAAAAAATTGTTTACCTCTAGTTGATATATTTGTAACACCATAACCACCAAGACCATCGAGCGAATTGTTCGATATGGCATCTGGCGATATACTATCAGGCCCATAGCCGAACGAGCTAGAAACATCGCGCAATGGAGATGATGAATACTGCGTTGGATCATCAAAGAACAAGCTCTTCCCAGGCCCATACAAGTTCCCCAAATCCCCGCTATAAACATTTTCTTTTTGAGCAAACCTTCTGCCACTTACAAAGCTATTACCTCCATTGTTGTAACTGATGATGTCATTCTCAAACGGGCCATTCTTTCCCGCATTGCTTGAAATTGAGGAGGAACCCCAAATTGCTCCAAGACTTCCTAAGCCAACAATATCGTTCTCTCTGTCCCACAAGTTCCAACTTGTTGAGTTCAAAACAGAACCACTTCGGATCGGTGTGTCATAACAACTTGATATCCCAGTGCTGAAGGGACTTTGGGTCCTCCCATATCCAATATTAGCACCCAAATTTCCTCTTTCCCCGAAGTTTGGCTGATTAAACAATGAATATCCGTTACGACCAACGGGAGTTGGACTATATCTCTCCATTCTTGATGTATAACCTCCTAGAGAACTTAGACCCTGACCAAGAGTGTATCCATTGAGGATATTGTTTACTCTGTTAAGACCAGAGTTGTTATATCCAGTTAATGGACTACGGATTGGTCCAGGTGACAACTCCTTAGGAACAGCTCGCTTGACCTCAACCATTTTCCCATTAAGTTCATGGAACATTTTGTGAAGAACTCTATCCACTGCTTCCTCCGAGTCATAAGTGATAAATCCGAAACCTCTTGGCCTTTGGGTGTTGTGGTCATACATCACTACGACATCAGTTATTGTCCCGAACTGATCGAAATACTTCTTAAAGTCACTCTCAGACACAGACGATGCTAATCCTCCAACAAAAATCTTTCTTGTTCGGGCAGAAACAGGGAGTATATTTACATTATTTTTGTTCGTGTAATGTTCATCTCTTGGGACAGCCTTCTTTGCTTCAACCTGGTGAGCAAATACTGAAGTGAGAAGCAGAATAAAGGAAACTTCATTTTCAGAACACAAGAAAAAGGTAATGACCGATCATATGTACTTCTTTACCAACCAAGAAGCAGTATATATACTTCGTTCCACTGCGAGAGTTCGAGCAATAAAAAGAACATATGTAAAAAACTCGGGCTAACTAGCAAAGCCTGTTCCCGGGTTCTCATTAATCGGTAATACATTCTAGTATTCTACAATATGAACAAAGAACTACTAGTGTCTTGTTTGGTACACATAAAGGAATAAAGGAGGAAAGAAATTAAACTTCAGTGGGAAAAGAATATGTGAGGAATAAAGGAGTTAAGATTACCCAATTTGGTTGATCAGAATAAGGGAGGAATAAGAAAAAAAACAATACCTAAGTGGGGGGTGAGTTGGGTGGGGTGGGGGGGCAGGATTTTTTCCCATGGCAAGGAATCCCAGTTCCTGGGAGATCTCCTCGTACACCAAACTGTGGCCATGGAAATGGTTGCACAAAGGAAAAGGGGGAAAATCATGTGTTCTATTGTACCAAACCACTACTATTGTTCTCTTTAAACAATCTATCAGATAATCAAACTACCCGGAAACGTTTGTTGTCTGAATTATTGCTTATTACATTTAAACTCGTCCCTAATTCCATTCACCCAATAGCTGTAACAATATCACCCCATTCTAAGATTCCTATAGCTGTCCTTGGTGCTTAAAATCATAAGTGTCCTTATTGATACAAATTATTGGAGTAACCTATTAATTCTGCAACACAACCTCTGTGTGATTCTTAAATGGCATTACTAAAAACTCCAAACCCAAGAACAAAAATATAGAAGACTAGAAGCCTTTTGGTAAGGATTGCTAGGCTGAAATATCTAAAATATAATAATGGAAAAGCATTTAAAAACATCGATTTCAGCCAAATAAGTGAAAAGGTTTTTGTTTTTGTTTTTTTTTTTGTTTTTGAAAGAGCAATGGGGCAATATAATGAATGTGTCACCTACAGTTCTGCCATCTATAATGTGCTTCTCCTTGACAACTCTTTCAGCAACAGAGGAATCCTCAAAAACAACAAAACCAAAACCGCGGGCGCGGCCTGTGGTTCGATCCTTCATGATCACCGCCTCAACCACTTCTCCGAATGTCTCGAAATACTCTCTGAGTCTCCCCTCGCTGGTCTCCCATGAAATCCCACCAACAAACACTTTTCCAGGATCCATTGCCGTCCTGAACACCACAATCAACACGAAATGAAGCAATTTCCAAACACACGCATTCCGAATCCTTTATGTCAGAAAGGATCCAAGCAAAATCAAAACAAGTAAAAAACTCAACAGCAACTTTTCATATAACCATCTCAATTCTCAAAGAAGAATCGAACCCCTCATCTTCAAAGACACCAATCCAATTAATAAATATCTAAATGCACATAAACCCATCATCACCGACAACAACATCACAGAAACGGGAGAGATTTGCAGAAATTCTCAATCACACAGAACAGAACAAAACAAAACAAAAACAGGACCAGATGATCATCAGCTCAAAAGAATCCGCAAAACATCTATACGATGATCAATAATCAACGCAGGCTCATTGGATTTACCAGATTAGGAAGACGGGCGAAAGAGTGGGTGGTGGGGGGGCTGGGAGAATTTTTCAAGATCTGAGGAAAAGCATATGCGGCGAGCAGAGGGCTGCTGGAAATGCCCTCTCTTTTCCTCCCGCACCTTCGTTGTTTATTCCCAATTTCAATGGTCTGCTTCAATCATTCGGGTGCAGTCTAACACAGGTCGGTATATATATAATACACACGCGCAGGGAGGAGAGAGAAATTTATGTCATCAATGGCGATAAAAGGGAGAGAGGATTGTGTGTGGCTCTCCCTACTCAAAGCTCACATGCACAAAATGTGGAGCTCAAAAAAATGGAGAACAATATATTATTGACATATATAGCCTGCTATATAATTTAAATCGTATGTTGTTGTTTTACTAGTTTTGTTCGAAGTTATTTTAAATTTAATTTTTTTAAAAATTAGTATGAAATTAAAATATAAAAATTATACATTTAAAAACTACATCAAACGATTTAGAAGATAAAAGGGGATAAAACTATATCAGTTTTGTGTTTAATTAAAAAAATATTGAGTTCCCAAAAAATTATTCTGTTAATAATAGGAATGGTTATTTAAATTATTCTTCAGCTAGTCGAGAAGGTATTGTCATAGGAATAAATACAGGTTCAAACTTGAGAACGACGATAAAGAATGACTATGTTATGCATGAGATTCTTGCACGTATCAGGGGCACACATCACTTCGTGGGTCAAGTCTTTACGATTTTTTTATCTTCCAAAAGGTCTCATACGAATGAAGTTGTGTAAACAATTAAATATTGGTTCTCTTCTTTTTTGGTGTGGGACTATGTTGCATTTCCAACAAACATCCTTTCAAACTAGGACCACACAATTTCTAACCTTCCCTTCAGCAGTAATTCATTTTTTATCAGCTAACCATCTTGCACCGCTGCTACACTTTTTGCGAGACACGCCGCCCGACCTCATGTCAGAGAGACTTTTGACGCAAGACCATTTGATCCATCAAATTATCTTGTACCACCGCTACAACATCGCAAGACATGCCACCAGACCTCGTCTTGTTTGGAAGATTTTTTATACAAGGCGCTACATGTAGATCAGTACTTTTTCGTCTTGGTCATGTTGTTACAACGTCACACTGGCCGCACAAACCAGGATTTCAACTTTTTTGTTGGTAACAAGAATAAATAATTAAGATTTCTAAGAGAGACCAATACCATCGAGGTCACTAGACTTGAGAACTAATAATGGAACATAAGTGTCGGTGGACATTGCGTCGTTGGCCAAGACAAGGAGTGCCAAAGAGGTAAGACACGAGTTCGATTTCTGATAACTGTGTAGGGAGATAATTATGTTAAACATAGAGTCTCTGCAAGTATCATGTGCAGTCTCTACTCTTTACACCAATTTTCAATCCAAAATTTAATTTACCTCATCTCAGTAACAGAGTAACCGTCCGACTGGACGTGAGACACACTCGAATATGGGGCTCGTTCTTTTTTGGAACTTTAGTTCTTTTCAAAAAAGATGAAACTTTGGTCATTAGCATCACTTTCCTTTTCTAAATAATACTTCTTGTCCGAATATCTTGTAAGTTTTTTTTAAAGGAATAGTAATTTTTTATTTATACACAACCTAATATCTAATTAATTGATAATAAAAAAATTTCTAATTTAATTATAAAAGTCAAATAAGACAACACACTAAAAGATGAAGACCATGTTTTCTTCACCTGATCTAATTGATTCTGATCTGATTGATATAAGTTTTAATCTGATCTTGTCTGATCTAATCTAATCTAATACGAATATATTTATATTTAAAGTTATTTATGATCTGATTTGATCTTATTCCAATAAAAACAAGTAATAATTAAAAAATAAATTTAGGAGAACATGGCCGAAAAGTAGTTAAATTTTAAATAATCAACAAAGGTTCATTTCTTTAGACAACAAAAGTTATTACTACCTCCGTCCCTAGGTATTTGTCTAATTTTAACATTTTTTTGTTAAATGTTTTCAATTTTTGACTTATAATTAAATAAAATATATATTGTATATTAATTAGATAAAATAATATTTTAAAAATATTTGATATATAACAAATCTAATAAAATTATTTTTGTATCAATATCTAATACCCCTCCGTCCACAAATAAATTTCCCATTACGCATTACGATGTTTGACTGAAGTTATTTTCAAATCATTTTATATGAAAAATGGTTTAAAATTTAAAAATAAAAATTACATATTAAAAAAGTATATCAAAAGATCTACAAAACTAGAGATGACATGATTATATTCCTTTATCAAATAAGTGACGAAAATAGGCCAACAAAGTGAATAAAATTTTACCCTGTGAATAGTGAACGAGAAGTTTATTTGTGGACGGAGGGAGTATTATTTTTATTAAATTTGATGTCAAAATTTACTGATTTCGACCAAAAAAAGTTAAAAGTTGACAAATACAAATAAGCTGAAGGAGTCCTTATTATCATACTCTGTATTATGACAACAATGCATTTAGAGCATTAAGGTGCATTGTTTTCAAATATGATGATGTGTATTAAACTAGACTAGACACACCTCCCCAAACCCACATTAAACTAGATGGTTTTTCAAAAAGTTAAATGATAAAAGTCCACTATTCCCTTCATCTTAAAATTAATTTTTTATTTGACTTTTTATAGATTTCAATGTGATATTTTGAACATTAATATCTCAAATTTTATATGAATATATATTATAAAAATAATATATTTCAAAACTGTGTTTCAAAATAAATCTATTAATATTATTTTTATATGAAAATTTAATATATTTTTCTGTAATATACATTCAAAGTATAAAAAGTTTGACTGTAAAAGTCAAACTAGAAAATTAACTTTAGGCCGAATGAAGTATGTTTTGAACAATATAGAGCAAGTATATGTTACTCCCTTCGTCCTATAATATTCTTTCCGTTTCTATTTACGAGATTTGATCGACTTTATTTTCAATTCAATTTATTTAATTGTAAGTGTAAAATTTAAAATAAAATTTACATATTTAAAATTTATATCAAAAATTCTACAAAACAAATAGTAACAAGACTATATTATTGTATCAAATACAATAAAGGTTCTTGTCAAAAGAATTGATGAGCATCAACAAAAGGGTGTCCTATAAAAGTGTTTGATAAGATGCTAGTTAGGCAAATGGCCTAAGAACCAGCTAGTTGAAAACGTACGCTATCAACCATTTGGATCTTATTTTTTGTCCAGATCCCTATCATTTTTTAATTTTAGTACTTTCCACGTCCTCTTATAATAATTTTTTCAGTCAATATTTATACAATTAAACTATAAGAGAAATTTACTTAAATAAGACTAAAACATAATAACTTTTCTAATATAGGACCATATGTTTTTATTTTCCAATGTAGGACCATTGGTCGTTATCCATTAGTCATTATTCAAGTAAATGTCCACCACAATTGGATATTATTCCTCTCACAAAAAATTATTAAGTTTTATTTAGGAAATAAAAAAGTTCAAGTCCTATATTGGAAAATGACTTATATTTTAGTCGTATTTAGTGCAAATAATTCTAAACTTTAATCATTTTTTTTTATCTATTTTTGTTAGTTACTCCGTATTTGATAAAATAATATAGTCATGTCACCTTTTGTTTTGTAAAACTTTTGATGTAGTTTTAAAATTGATGGTGTAAATATAGCGGGGTGGGTTAACCGGGTTTGACCTGGACACACTCGACCCGTAATATAAAACACACAACAAGAACACAAAGTATGACCTAGACCGGGTAAATCTCCTCAGTCCGAATTATATTTCTTACTCTATCTCAAGAGTAGACTTTAGTGAGAGAAAAATTGGATCCCCTCCTCTATCCAATATCATCATATTTATAGAGGAGGATTTGTGACCTTCCCCTGTTCATCCATGGACAAAATAGGAAGCACGTGGGAAGGTCACTGTAGATAATGGAAGCACTGTACAATCATGGACTTGCTACTAATACAACCAAAAAGCACTGTTCAATCAAAGACTAAAATGGATATTCTCAATCCAATCAACCCTGCAAAATGACAAACATCCCTTTCACTGTGTGCCTCGTGATGGATGAGCGGCGGGGTGTCCCCTTGACCTCTGACGTGGTTCACCATGCCTNCGTGGGAAGGTCACTGTAGATAATGGAAGCACTGTACAATCATGGACTTGCTACTAATACAACCAAAAAGCACTGTTCAATCAAAGACTAAAATGGATATTCTCAATCCAATCAACCCTGCAAAATGACAAACATCCCTTTCACTGTGTGCCTCGTGATGGATGAGCGGCGGGGTGTCCCCTTGACCTCTGACGTGGTTCACCATGCCTAAGATACTGGACCAATGTTTGTCAAGTGAGATGATATGACCGGTCACATTCTCTCAAAAGTTACCTGGTCATTCTTTGTGCTCAACCCGTCTTTGGTCTTCTAGAATGTCCTTTGTAACATTAGGCGACATTTTGGCTATCGCCCAAAATGTGACCGGTCACTTTTTTAGTGGAAGTAACCGGTCAACTTTTGACCCGTCCCAATCGAAGAGTTAACCTCATTTGGTGATTGATAAAAGTGACCGGTCATATTTTGACCTGTCCCTTTCGGTTGTCCGGGTCGGGTATATGGATATACCCATCAGAAGTCCTCCACTTACCGGCCTTGTGAGGAAGTCATCAAGGGCGGGAAGTATATTTACGTTGATCTATCACTTTTGAAATCATCAAGTCATTCTCATGACCTGTCCTTCTTTGAAATTACCAAGTCATTCCCATGACCTGTCCTTCTTTGAAATCATCAAGTCATTCCCATGACCTGTCCTTCTTCTAAGTTATCAAGTCATTCCCATGACCTATCCTTTTCTGAAATCATCAAGTCATTCTCATTGACCTATCCTTCTTGTTGACCTGTCCTTTTAGACCCGTCACTTTTGTAATTATCATACCTTTCTCTTTCAAGACCTGTTGTTCTCTGGATTGCCAAGCCTTTCTTTTTCAAGACCTGTCCTGTCCTTCTTTGAAATTGTCAAGCCATTCCCATGACCTTTCCATGGAGACCTGCCCATTTTTTGAATTCACCGTCTTCATACCAGACCTGGCACTTATGGATTTGTAGACTACGCTGTATGACCTGTCCGTTTGGATTTGTGGGAGTCCAAACGTTGAGCCAGGCCTTTTAGTTTTGGAATTTCCCCCCAAAACCTCTCACCTTCCACATTCAAAATTCAAATTTTCCCTCCTAATCACAACCTCTTCCACGTGTCAGGCGCTCCTTCTCCCACCTGTCGCCTCGAGCTCCAAACCGCCTCTCTCTCTCCTATAAATACTCCTCCAACCCATCTCATTTCTTCACTTCTCTGCTTCGTTTCTCTTGATTTGCCCGATCTGCTTTCTCTCTCTAGCTTCTCACCAAGTAAGTGCTCCAGTCCTCCTAGTCTTTTATTTTTCATCTTCCCTTTTTTAACCGGCAACATCATGTCTTCTGATAGCCAAAACATATCCGGCCAATCTTATGGGTCAGGCTCTCAGCCCTCTTCTTCTTCTCACTCTGAGTCTTCTTCTCCCCCTGTCACACCTTTAATTCGCCGCCCCTCTCACCAATCCAGCTCCCAGGCCCAGGAAATAGTTGCCCAGGAGCCTGTTCCTTTGAACCAATTGCCCGGTCGTTTCAATCCCAAGGTCCTCAGCTGGGACCAGTGGGAAGAACGATTGGGATCAATGGGCTACCTAGCCCTTGACTCAGGACCGGTCTTCAAAGAATCCTCTAGGGTTACAAAAAAGGTCCTGGCCGAGGTACGCTCCGTCCTTCCACCGGGCTATAAAGTCATTTCTAACACCACCTGGCCCAACATCATTGACCCCCACCAAGGAAACCGGTTGGGTTTTCATGTTGCTTCGCTAGAGGGGGGCATTATCTTTCCCCTTCGCCCCCTCCTCGTAGAAATCTGTGACATGTTCAAGATTTTGCCCGGCCAGCTTACTCCAAATGCTCACCGGTTCTTGAATTGTTTTGTAAATATTTGTGAATCTCTAAAAATCACCCCTTCTTTGGACCTCTTCCTTCACATGTATGATGTCTTGCCCGGGACTATTAACTGCTCGGGCTTTGTTTACTTCCATTCCCGTCCCAATTCTAGGGGTTTTTTGACCGGTCTTCCCCCTAGCCACAAGAAATGGAAGCAAAGATTTGTTTTCGTTGAGTTCCCCCCTGACCAATTTCAACTCTCCAACCGTGAGTGGGCTGACCGGGTTATAAAACCCGAAAGGGTTCACCCGGAGCCCACCAAAGAGCTAGAGGAAGCCTGCGAGAAACTTCTCAAGGGTGATCCTGTGACCGGTAAGCCATACGCCTACGGTGGATGGGTATACCAGTTACCTAACCCGGATGGGGACGTGTCTGCGACCCATGACGCAGGAGATGACCGGGCTGATTCCCCGGATGGTCACGCTGAGGCCGGCTCTCCTCATCCAGGTTGGTTAACTTTCCTCAACCTTTTGATTTCACTTTCTTTTTGACAAGGCATAAAATCTAACCGGTCATTTGTTGCTTTTGTTCTTTTTTCAGACATGAACTTCAACAGGATGACCACCATCATTGAGGATGATGACGATGATGTCCAAGTCCTCAACTCCAACCGGTCTCCTCTCTCCAAGCCTCCCTCTCCTCCTTACTTCCCTGAAATGGATGGGGCCGCAAGTGCCCGGTGTAGCCCTATCCAGAGCCAAAAACTGAACTCTCCTCCTGCCACCCATCTCTCCGAAAGTGACCGGGTCCCTTATCCCAAGAAGGATGTCAAGGCCAAAGGGAAGGGGACCGGTCATTCTTCTTCTCAGAAAAGGAAGAGTTCCCACAAGACTTCCAGGGGGGAAAAGAGGAAGAAAGTCAGGCTATCAGATCTAGAAGGGGAGTCCATTGAAGTGACATTTTTATCCTTGGCCCAGAAACTCAGAAAGGTACCAACTCTGATTTTTCTCCCGGTTTAATTACTTCCTTTGCTTTTACTGACAAGCTTGTTTTCCAGGTTGGAGTTCTATCCGAAGAATTTGGCCGGTCACTCCTGGAGTCCAAGGACCAGGTCTCCGAACTTACCCTCCTTCTTGATTCTGTCAAGTTGGAGATCAATGACCGAGTCGAGAGGGAGAAGAGACTTGAAGAGGAGCTGAAGGAAGAGAGGGCCAGGCTAGATGAGGAAAGAGCCAACCTGGTGGAGGCGAAGAGGAAGTTGGTAGAGCTGGAGGATGCCTTGGCCCAAGCTGAAGAGACTGCCCGGTCCATTCTAGTTGGGCCTGAGGAGACAATGGCCTTCTTCAAGACCATGTACAAGGAGCCGGAGGGCAAAAAGATGATAACCGATATCGGTTCATATGGTTTCCAATGCGGTCAGAAGGATGAGAGGTCACTCCTCTACTCCAGGCTTCAGAAGAGGGACCCTTCCTTTGACCCGGCCAAAGTGAAGCTCCCGGCCTTGTATACGGAAGAGCCAGCTCCCCCCTTTCCCCTAGAGTAGGTTAGGGTTT